CTTCTCTCAAAGTTTAAAGAAAAATTAGCTTACTAATAGAAGGGACAAATTCTTTCTAAACTTTAAGCAAAATTTTTCGATAACTACCTAACCAAATTTGATGAATTGTTTTTTACTTTAATTCTACACATTAAAATAAAAAAAATCATCGAATTTGTCAGGTAATTATCAAAGTTTCAAAAAAGATTGAGCTCAATTTACTGATAGATGGAACAAGTTATTTCTTTGAACGAAGTTAATTTAGCACAGACTGCTTGCCAAAACAAAACAGTCTAAAGAAGTTAGAATAGATAGAAAATCATATATATAGCAAAAAATCAAAAAAAGTTTTTATTTTTTGTATAAAGTACTCTGAATTTGAAGCTAACAATTTTATATGCAAATAAGAAATATTTAAATAAAGAAACATTATAATATGTATATGTGAATGAGAAATATTCTTTTAAAATATATTGAGTAGTAGGATTGTTAATAGAGTACTCCAAGCTATAATAAAACATATAAACCACTTCAGTTTTAAACTAAATGGTTTATATGTTTTATTATAGCTTGGAGTACTCCATTAACAACTCTAATATTGAGAAATATTTATACAATAATTGGTAAATCGGTTAAAATGAATGAAATGAGTGAACAAACGAAAGAATAAAATTATTGAACAAAATGATGATCTGATTTGATTAAAATGATTTGATTTAATCTGATTTGATTTAAATGAATGAATAAATGATTAAAGTGAAATGATTAAGTCTAAATAAATGAAAGCTGTTACAAAATACAATGAATTCGTAAAGAATTCATAAAGAATTCATATAAAGAATTCATATGATTAATTAACCATTTCTAAATTATATTTATGGTGTGATCCATTTAATGTCCAGCCGCTACCAAATTATCATAATACAATTTATCATTTGTGGTATCATGGTCTTGTTTGTTATTACTCTTAATAATCTCGCTAGTCTCACTGATCTCGCTAGTTACTGATCTCGCTAGTCTCACTAATTTCACTAGTCTCACTAATCTCACTAATCTCGCTAGTTCACTTAACCTCATTAGTTTGGTTTTATGGATTTTTGTTTAATGTTTGGTCGATGATGTGTTTTAGATGAACCAATGCCATTCAAAGTTGAAGATGATTCAACAACCACAGATGAATCAAGACTCACAGACCTTCTATGTGATTTTGAAATAGCTTTGGAACAGATACTTTTACCATGAAATACGTTAGATAATGATAAATTATTATTATTATTATTATTTTCACCGTTAGACGATAGATCATTTAAGGCTGCAAAGGTCCACTTAATTTAGGACTATTGGGTTCACTACGAATCTCAAAAGCTGAACTCCCGTCCAAATCATCTTCATCGTGCATGTTCAAGTAATAACTTGAATTTACTTGTTCAATTGATGCTAATGAAGTATCCGGACTTTCTTCAAATAAAAGTTCACGACGACTTGAAAAAACTGAAGGTGGAACTGATGTTGAAGTACCAGAATCTTTTTTATGTGAATTATTTTCGTTACGAAGTAAAAGACGACCTATTAATGAAAAACTCTTGTTTTGGTTTAGTTTTGGTGGTGGTTTTTGTTTATCAGGCACTAAAATTAGTTCATTTGATCCACTTTCATTATTTCTTTCATTATCTACATTTGTAATTTCCGAATGTGTGATTGGTGAAATTTCCATAAAAGTATCATCATAAGAAGGTAAATTGGTATCTCCAAAAATCTCTGCCAATAAAGAATTCTTTTCTTCGGGAATAGTGGTAACACTAATTGGACATACTAATTCCAAATCATTTTCATTTTCATCTTCAAACATCAATACAAATCTAAATTTATGTCCAACTTTCATTAATGGAGATTTAAGTGTGGCTTTTAATTGAGATTTGCGAGTAACTTGGGAATATTGTGCAAACGGAAGGTTATAAATCAATGCATTATTCCAATTGTCTACTTCATTGGAAACACTGAGTGTTGTCGGGGCTATAGGATAAGTTCGTTTACGTTTTGTTAACGGTGATCCACTTAATGGAACAATGGAAACTAAATGAGCAGGATCGACCGAAAATTCATCCATGTTTTTTCGACTTGGCCTAACACTAAATTAATAAAGTTAATATTTTAAAAATGGATTTATTTTAAAAATATATTGGAAAATATATTAAAAATATCTTAAAAAATATATTAAAAATATTTTAAAAATATATTAAAAATATATGTTAACGTCATTATAAATACCTATATTTTTCAGATTGAACCAATTCAAAGTGAATCTTCTTAATGCGACCTTGGTCGCTTTTTGGACATAATCTTAATCTGATTAGTAAACTTTTTTCATTAACGCAAATGAATGTAGGAAGTTCCAACTCAAAATTTATAATCTCCTTTCTTTCAACCTTATAAATTTTTTGTGGAGGAGCAGGCAAAAACTCTCTCCTACAAGGTAAATAATGTCTTAAAAAATTAATTCCTCTTTCAACTCTAGTATCTTTTGACATTAATGAAGCTGGTTGAACCGCGACAACCAATTTATAAAAAATTGTACCAAAATTAGTTCTATAAGTTTGTGGTAAATTACCGGGAACCCTAAATTCATAATCAAGATCGGTTACACCTCTAGGTAAAGAGTTTTTTTCATGAAGAATTTGTTCAAGTTTAATTATTTCTAATGCTGAATATTGGTCTTCCCAATCAGAATATTCGGATTTTCCTTTTAATCTAATGGTTATTAATTCCATATTTTGTGGTCTTGAGAGGATTATACGAAGTTTACCGGAAACGAAGTGTGTTATATTCTTATTAGGTGCACCATACATTACTACTTTTCCATCATTATGTGGAAGGATATCCACCGCACTAATACTATTACTTATCATTCTTTTTTAAATATGAGCAAAAAAAAAGGAAGCAATTCTAAACGCCGTGAGTGTGGTTGAAAATGAGCTGGTTATAAATAAATAAATAAATTTTTTTAATAGATATTCAAAAATGGTTATAAATATCATGTATGGTGCAAGTTATCTAATCGCATGTATTAATGTTGCGACCAGTGTTTAAAATTCAAAATGAAAGTTACTTGCACAATTGCATAAAAAATTTATTTAACTTGCACAGTATGCAAGTAAATTGTTATTTTTCTACTTGCACAAATATAACTTTTATAATTTATATTTATTTTGTGCAGTTTTTTTCTTAAAAACTTACTTGCACATATGCATAAATGTTTTATAAACTTCTTGCACATTGAGAAAAACTCTTGCAC